CCATAGGCCCCGCCTCTCTCCCCGCCCCAGGTCGCGGCTGCTCTGCGCATGCCCACTCGGCAGAGCGCGAGCTAGGAGTTGCGGTGGGGAAACAAACTTTGCCCCGGAGATGTCTCCAGCTCGTTCTTCCCCGGAGCCTGTCAGGTAAAGTCCCCCGGTCCCTGGCACTCCGAGCAGGGCCCGGCCGTCCCCGAGCGCGGCGGCGGGGCCGTTCGGCCGGGACTTTTCTTGCCGCGCCCATCTACCCACCTGCGGAGCCCGCGCTCGGTGCGCTCGCCTCCCGGGCCGCCCGCGGGGACGCGGGGCCTCTGCACCCATGGGCTCACACCCGGCCCCGCAGGGTCGCACCCCTTTCTCCTGCCCAGCCGCCTTTCCTCTTCAGCTTAGGGCTTCTCCGGAGTTCCATCCCAGAAACCAGGAGCCCGCACCAGGCAGCTCCGGGTTCAAGGCCGCGGTGGCCACCTCCAGGGTCTGGCAGTTACCTAACCTCTCTGAGCCTGGGCGGGACCCAGTCCTAACCTCTCCCGGGCTGTTGTGGGGACAGAAAGAGAAAAGCGTGGAATGCGTGGGACGAGCCCTTGCTCAGAACCAGGTGGCTGCTACGGTGGTGGTTTTTTGGTGGTTATTCCAGCCAGCCCCTGATGTGGACACACACGTTTTTGCAGTTTTGCTTCTGCTGGTCCCTCTGATCGGTTCTGGGGCCTCTTAAAAAGCCACAGTCGGTGGGTCCAGTGCACACTCTGGCGGGCCAGTTTTCTGGACGTGGGCCTGTGTGCATGGGGTACACCCAGGAGCCCCCTCCAGTGCCCGCTTGCTGTGGTTCTGAAAGGCCTTTGGTCGTTTTTGAAATCCACTGCTGGTACCCAGCCAGCTTTAGTGAGCATCCTGTCATGAAGAAAGAGGCAAAAAAACAAAACAAAACAAAACAAAAAAACCACAACAAAACACCTTCCCCAAACAACTTGCCCACCTAATGCCGGACACATGTATGACAGCAGTCACGACGTGTTTACAGATACCTTCAAGCAGGTCACAGATGAGGAAAGCAAGGCCTGGAGAGGTCCTTCCAAAACACTTTACAAGCAGTTCTGCCCCCCCCTTAAATATCTGACTTCGCCCACTCTGCAAAATTGCCTTTCCCAGAGAAAAATCAAAACCAAACTGTTAGTTTCTAGGGCCGCTGTAACAAAGTATCACAAACTTGATGGCTTAAAACAACAGAAATTCATTCTGCCATAGTCCTGAAGCCCAGACGTCTGAATTTCCTGCCTGTTTCAGCTTCCGATGGATCTTGATGTTCCTTGGCTTCTGGCCACATCACTCTAATCTCTGCCTCTGTCTTCACATTGGCTTCTTCTGTGTGTGTGTGTTTCTATGTCCTCTCTTCTTATGAGTATGCCAATCATTGGATGTAGGGCCCACCCTACATCCGGGATGATTTCATCTTAAGACTCGTGATTCCACCTGCAAAGACACTGCTTGCAAATAAAGTTGCATTCTGAGCCTTCTGGGTGACATGAATTTGGGGGGACACTATTTAAGCTACTACACAAACCAGCAACAAAATACACCAGTCAAAAAGACCAGAACATTCAAAGTCATGAATTCGGGGCACCAAATGTGGTTACAAATCCAAATACTTGCATATTGTCAGGTAATGGCTCTCAAAGGGGGTTCCTCTGGTCCACAGCATCAGCATCCTGGTTGCTTGGGAGTTGGATACTAAGTTTCAGGCCCCACCCCAAACTTACCGAGTCTTGCTTTAGGGGTGGGCCTAGCAATCTGTGTTGTAACACGGTGAATCTGTTGTCACTAGATTTTTGGGACCTTTAAGGCAATTGAAGACATAAGGGTTTTTAACCCTTTTTGAAAAACTTTATAAGGCAATTGAAGACATAAGGGTTTGAGGACATAAGGATCAGGCTAAGAGAGTTCTAACTTAACGACAACGACCTGTTTACCAAACCTGTCTTACTGGAGTATTATCAAGGATTGCAACATTTAACTGTTGCAGTTTTGAAAGAATCTTTTACCATAATTTCTACTTAATTTCCAAAGTGAAACCATGCACTAAACTGTATTCTTAGCCTTTTTTTTTTTTTTTTTTTTTTTTTTTTTTTTTTTTTTTTTTTTTTGCTCATTTTATCTTGCCGGTCATGCAGTTGGGCTGAGAGTATTATTCCTGCCATGTTATCGACAAATACAGTGAGAGTCAGCCCTGGTAAGCTCCGAGATGCACAACACAACAGAAACATAGGCAGGACTGGGAGCTTTTTCCCACACCTCTGGTTACTGAAGTGTTTTGTTTGTTTCCATTTCAGAAACAGTCTGATAGATGATGCGAAGGCCCGCTTAAAAGAGCATGATGCTGGGACCAGATACTCTCATTTGTCGTATGACAAATACTCTGTCCTTTTACCGTTGCTGGTGAAAGAAGGAAAACTCCATTTGTTGTTCACCCTCCGGTCGGAGAAGGTAGGTGACAGAAAGGTCCCTGCCATTAAAGTTCCAGGACCTTCGAAAACCCCACCAAAACCTGTCACATGCACGCATTTTGAGGCCACGGATTCTCAAATGGACTTTGAAGATTGTGATGTTCAGGGGACAAGAAGCCGCAGGGTAGCATGGCATTTTTTGGAGAAGTTTTAGAAAGAAAAATAAGCAAGTAGCAAGTAGTTTGAAATATTTTTAGGTCAGGGTTTCTTAACCTTAGCTGTATTGGTTGGCATCTGGGCTGGATAATTCTTTGTTGTAGGAGCTCTTCTGTGCACTGCGAGATGTTTAGCATCATCCCTGGGTTTTACCCGCTAGGTGCCAGTAATACACACACACACACACACACTCACACACACACACACACACACACACACCCCTTTGTGACAACCACAGGTGTCTCCAGACGTCCCTGCCCTGGCAGGGTTGGGGGCCACAACTGCCACTGCCAGTAGAAAATTCTCGAACACAGAAATGAACAGCCAGGGCCCTGAAGCTGGCTGCCCGCCTTTGAACTCAGGCTCTCTCCTGGCCAGCTGTGTGACTTTGGTCTAGTTGCTTACCCTCTCTGTGCTACAGTCTCTTTACTTGCAAAATGAGGACAAACCACCAGTACTTGCTTTGTGGGGCTACCCA